GAAGGAGCAGGGGGCTGGGCCGCGCGGCTGGGACTCCGAAGGGTGAGGGTGGAGCGGGCCAGCATCGCTCTGGCTCTGCTGGGAGGCCTCCATGTGCTTATTTTGGGGTGGCAAAAGCTGGTTTCTGGCCAAGCATCCTTCAGGCACAGCTGTAAATTGTTACAGGATTCTGGTTTTCACGCATTTTGGCTCGCCATCATATGGTGTTGGAGCAGAGGGAGATGCTCGGGATGCGGGGCAGCGCTGCCCACGCTCCAGTGTCCTCGTCTTTGTGTGCCCCAGCCTTTGGCTAACCCCCAGCCCCATGCCAGCCACCCCACTGCTTACGCTGTCTGCCCCCTTTCAAAGGCAACTGCTCTGCAGACCTTCCCAGCCCTCTGTGCCTGCGGAGAAGAGGTCTCCTCGCCCTCCGGACGGCTCAGTGCTGCAGTGTGCCATTGCAGGTGCTGCTCTCCTCCATCAGTCAGGATCAGCGCTCTGGTCCTATGTCCATGGCCTGGCGGGAACTGTGCCCGCTGGCCCTTCTCCTCAAGAGACAGCGATGTCCTGGTTGCTTCTCCACTTGACGGTCTCTCCTGGTAAAGAGATGCTGGAGCCAAACTTTTTGCGAGTGTTTTGCTGGCTACCCCCCACCCCAGATTCTCCCAGCCTCCTCTTGTGATGTGAACTCCCAGTTCACTAGGACTGCTTGTCTCCACTCACCCCAGTTTGGACTGGTTGCCCTGAGAGCTGTGGTTGGTGTTGCTTTCCTTGGCTCTGCCTTTCTGAAATAAGTGATGCTGGTGGGGAGGTTTTAGGCTGAGGCTCAGGGAGGAGCTGTTAACAGCTACACCTTGCTGGTTTTGATCTCTTGTGGGGAGCAGGGGCTTCATCTGCCATCCCTCACATTGCAGGAGGAGAGGGAGGTCTGTGGACCACTTCCAACCTGGACTGGGCCAGATGGAGCTGATGCCCGAGAAGCAGCAGGCTGGAAGCTGGATCTGGGACCTGGCTGTGTCCTGCAGGTGTGCAAACGGACATCCTGGGAGAGAGCAGGGATGGTGTAGGGGTGGCCCTGGGTGAGAGGGTGCAGTGCTGAGGGCCACAGGGGGGATGGGGAGAGCCCCCACAGCACCCCCTGTGCTCTCTCCAGTCTCTGCTGTACAGTGACCCAGGCAGCCCCCTCCCAGGGTCTCACAGTCCCTCACCTGCTGCCCCTTCCGTCTCCTCAAATCCTCTCCTGGTCTGCTCACTGCTGGATTGCAGTCCAGGCTGCTCCAGGAGCTGCCCCATGGTTCCTGGCTGCCAGGAGGCTCTATGTGGGGTGCAAAGAGGAGGTGGATCTGGGGGGAAGGTTTGCGAGCAAGCCTGGACCTCAGCTGGGCTGGGACAGCAGCCTCCACGTCCTGGTTCCACTTTTGGCTGCTTCTTCTTGGTGTTGCAGCCCCGTGGCTGTGTCTGGGCACGCCCAGCTTGATGGGAAAAGGGGTGAGAGGACTGCAGCTCACGTGTCTGGTGTTCAACGCTTTATCTGGTGTGTTCGCACCCCTGAAGAACATCAGACACATGAGCTATTCTCTGAGGCAAACACACTTCTGTGCCTGCCCGACCTAAACATAGTCCAGGTTCTGCAGCTGAGGGCAATGGAGCAGTGGTGCCCCAGGACGGGACGTGATGGGAACATGCTGGTAGCCTCCTCCAGGCGTCCCAGCTGCCTGGAGTGCTGGGGACGCAGCAGGTCCCCAAGTCTTTCTGCCGGGAGGGGATTTCTTCTGCCAGCCCCATAGCAGCTTGGCCTGAGGCCCAGCTCGTCTCAGGAGAACCGGGCTGGGGTTTCTCTGCTCCGCAGGAGAGCCAGACAAGCCATTTAGCCTCAGCACCTGAGGATGGAGGGGACCCTCTCCCTGCGGACCGAGGGGCTTAGCTCAGATGGCCTGCGAAGGAGCTGATAGCCAGGCTGATTTCCCTTCTGCTGCCTTGCGCAGGAGAGCGGCTTTCCAAAAACGTCTGATTTTTACTTAAAATATAAACAGGGAGAGGCTTGTTGTCCTTGATGCAAACACGGGTGACCCCGTGGTGGGCTGGGAAGCACGGAGGGAAGGAGGCAAATGCCTCTGTGCAGGCACCCGCCTCCCCAGCAAGGAGCAATTCGTGGCCACGAGCCGAGGCAGCAGCAGAGGTGGGACGAGCCCGGGAGCAGTGATGCTGCCCGTCCCCCGCC